ATCGTACGATACGCGGATAATTGACGTCAATCATCCGCTCCTGTCTGGTTGTACATGCACTTCTTTTATGTCTGCATTAATCTGGTTTCATCCGCAAATGTGTGATTTCGTCCGGTTTTATCCGCGATTGCCTGCATTTTGTTCTATACCTGCATTCATCAGGTTTTATCTGCAAATACAGGTATTTGGTTTTATATCTGCAAATTGAAATTAATTTTGAAAAGACAAAATGTGTGTATTTTCATCAAAGACAAATCAACACTGAGCATCCTACTTTAAATTTCAACATCAATTATGAAAATAAAGTACGAACTTTAGGTTTAATTATAGATTCTGCTTTGAACTGGAAGGACAACGTTAATACATTATGCAACTTATTGAGATCTGCCTGCTACTGTCTAAGAATTTTAAAACTTAAAGAAATTAGCGTAGAGACGTTACAATTAGTTTATTTTAGTTATTTCGAAAGTCGCCTCAGATATGGTATAATTAACTGGGGCTCTTCAGTAACGTCTTCCAAAATTTTTATATTACAAAAATACGCCCTAAGAATAATCCTAGGTTTAAAAAGAAGGGACAGTTGCAGGGAATACTTTAGACTAAAAAATATATTAACGTTTCCTTCCTTGTTTATTTTCGAATGCTTAGTTTTTGTACATAATAATAAGAATGAATTTAATTTTTTTAATGCAAACACTCGCCAAAGTGGTCTAATTATGTACGAATCAAATAACACCAGTTTATTTCAAAGAAGTATTTTGTTTTTAGGACCAAAATTTTATAACAAACTTAATAAAAATATTAGATCTTTAAATTTAAGGAGCTTTAAGTACACCATTAAACAACTTTTAATTTCAAAAGCTTATTATAGCTATGGTGAATATTTGGATGATCATTCAGTTTAATAATCTGGTTAAATAATTTTGGATTTGGTTTGGTAAGAAGAACACAAATATTGTTCCTTATTATAGTTTTTATTTTAATGTTATAATTTTTTATATTTTTTGTATTTTTTTCAAGGTATTGCCATATTTTCATTTTTTACTTTTCTATACAACTGTAGTTGTTTTTTGAAAATAAACGTTATTATTATTATTATTATTATTATTATTATCTGCAAATGTTTGATTTCGTCCAGATTTATCCGCGATTGGCTGCATTTATTCGGTTTTATCCGCAAATACCTGAATTTGGTTTTATATCTGCATTTATCTGGTTTTATACACGTCAAATCAAATACAGGCATTTGCGGAAAAAACCTGAATGCAGACAATCGCGGATGAAACCAGATTAATGAAGACATAAAACCAAATTCAGGTATTTGCGGATAAAACCAGATAAATACAGACATATATAGAACGAAATACAGACGACCGGGGATAAAACCGGATGAGTGCAGACATAGACGAAATGCAGGCAATCGCGGATGAGATCAGATGAAAATATCACATATGACGGTATAACATCAATGCCGGACTTTTGCAAATGATATTTACACCCGATAGTGCAGGTGAAATCCGACGTGACGGTAACATCCGATATGACAGGCAAAGGCAGCCATAACCGGACATAAAACCAGCTTGGTCAAACCGGAAGTGGCATTTTGTTTAAAATATTTTAGAAAAATAGGGTTAATTAGATTATAAAGGCTTTGAAACTTGGTTCATTTGGACTTTCAGATTCGTTAATTAAATTAATAGCTTCATATTTGAATAATCGTAAATTATATGTTTCGTATCAAGGGTTTAAATCAAAATATTTTGTAGCTACCTCGGGAGTACCCCAGGGGTCAAACTTGGGACCGCTATTATTTAATCTCTTTATCAATGACCTTGTTTCTTCACTAAAAACTAAAAAATTACTTTTCGCTGACGATGTAAAGTTATATCACACTGTACGAGATGTTAAAGACTGCGAGCTTCTTCAGTCAGATCTGAACTTAATTCAGCAGTGGTGTAAGGAAAACTCCTAGGCTTAGGCCTAAACATATCTAAATGTAAAGTTTGCCCGTTTACTCTTAAACTTAATTCAATTAGATTTAACTATAATATTGAACATATCTCATTGTCCCGTTCTAGCTTAGTCAAAGATCCTGGAATTATGTTTGATAGTAAGTTTAGCTTTGTAAATCATATTCAAAATATTTTTAACTCTGCTAATAGGGTTCTTGGTTTTATTTATCGAAACTGTATATCTTTTAAAAATATGTTTGCACTAAAGTCACTATATTTCAGTTTAGTTTGTTCTAAACTTGAATATTGTTCAAATATTTGGTATCCTTATTATCAGAATCACTGCAAATCACTTGAAGAAGTTCTACGTCGATTTTTGAAAATGTTATATATTAAAAAACACAATACTTATCCAGAGGGGGGATATGATCACAATCTATTATTGCAGGAATTTAATATTTTAGCACTAGATGTTAGGAGGAATATATTTTCAATTAAATTTTTGTACAAACTTGTCCATAATAAGATTGACTGTCCAGATCTGCTTGAGCACTTGAATTTTCATGTTCCGCGTATTCATTCTAGGTCAGTTTCAACCTTTAAATGTTTTGCACGTACAAATGGACTTTTGTGGTCGCCAATGTTTGTTATGTGTACCAACTTTAATAAAATATCTCACGTGTGTGATATTAATTATTCTGAATTGTCGTTCATTATTTGTACTTTTTTAAGCGTTAATTAGTTTATTTTTGTTTATAGACTTATTTTACTATGTATAATAGGGTGATTTTTTTTTCACGACAATTTTTATTTTTTCGCTCCCAACTCAAAATCTTGTTGAAAATGTTCAAAAAAAAATCCCTGAAAATTTTAGCCCTTAATATAAACTCAAAGTACTCGACCAAAGCGTATAAAGATTTCCCATTTAAAATACACGTAAACTTTGATTATTTTTTTTAAATATCTATATCTCAGCCGCATTTTATGCTATTGGATTGTTTCAAAAAAGGATTTACTCGTAATCAAAAGTTCTACAAAAATGCTTTATGTGCCATAGCTGTAATCTGCACATGTAGGATGGTACGGGTCACTAAATCTTATTTAAGTGAAAAATTATCATATTTTTGAAGATATTTCAAAAGTGACTGGATTCTTTAAAAAAATGTAAAGAACAAACTTGTAGAAAATTTAATTTTTTTTAAAAAAGGTCCTATCAGTTGAATCGCTAAGATTGATATTTCTTGAGATATAAAGCGTTTACATTGACAATTTATGAAATTTTTAGGATTTTCGTATCAAACTTTGTATAAATGATGATTTTCAATTGTTTATCAGTAAAATTTCATGTAATTCCTTTTTTTCTACAGTCGGGTGATTAGAGAAAAATAAATAACTCAAACAATCAAGCATAATTATTAATAAAATGTTGTATGTAATACACCTCGTTATATCAATTTTTAGGTTAGATATATCTTTTTTCTTTAAAGTTATGTAAACAAAATTAAATTTTCTACAAGTTTGTTTTTTACATTTTTTCAAAGAATCCAGTCACTTTTGAAATATCTTCAAAAATATGATAATTTTTCACTAAAATAGGATTTAGTGACCCGTACCATCCTACATGTGCAGATTACAGCTATGACACATAAAGCATTTTTGTAGAACTTTTGATTACGAGTAAATCCTTTTTTGAAACAATCCAATAGCATAAAATGCGGCTGAGATATAGATATTTAAAAAAAAATAATCCAAGTTTACGTGTATTTTAAATGGGAAATCTTTATACGCTTTGGTCAAGTACTTTGAGTTAATATTAAGGGCTCAAATTTTCAGGGAATTTTTTTTTGAACATTTTCAACAAGATTTTGAGTTGGGAGCGAAAAAATAAAAATTGTCGTGAAAAAAAAATCACCCTAATGTATAAGTTATTTTATATTTTTGCTATTATGCTGTTACTATAGTTTTTATTTTTTGTTCTTTGTCCTGTTATTGGAATTTTTTCTGTTGTGCAAATAAATTTATTATTATTATATTATGCGCCGAATACCGTGAATAACATTTTATTAGTCGCACTTAAAAAAAATGACGTGATCTGAAAACCCGTATGGGTATTAGGGTGAGCCAAAAAAACTAACCTATCGGATTTATGGGTTAAAATGAACCTACATACCGAGAAAAAAATTTCCCTGCAAGGCAAAATTTTTTGCTCAATTTTAAAAGGTGTCAGTGAGCATTCTAAGTTTTCCATTGAAATAACACGTAAAAAAATCTTTTTTCATTAAAAAGACTATAACTTTTGAACCGTTTGAGATAAAAGTTATGGTATTTTTAATGAAAAAAGATTTTTTTACGTGTTTTTTCAATGGAAAACTTAGAATGCTCACCGACACCTTTTAAAATTGAGCAAAAAATTTTGCCTTGCAGGGAAATTTTTTGCTCGGTATGTAGGTTCATTTTAACCCATAAATCCGATAGGGTAGTTTTTTTGGCTCACCCTAATGGGTATTACTTTTTTAAGTCTATTTTCAAAATCTATAGAAATTTTTCATGAAAGGGAAAAAATCAAATTTTGTCGTACTGTGTTATAAATACTCATATTTTCAACATACTATATTTTTTGAATTAAGAATGTGGGTTGGATTGGTTGGTAAGTAAAATATTTACATTTGTAACATATTTTTAAACAGTGTCAATTCTTAAACACAATACTTTTTAAAACGATTCCACGTCCATTAGATCACATGATTAATTTGAACAATGGACATGGATTTTTTAAATGTCAAATAATTACACCAAAATTACCATTCATGGCATCCTTAGGTACATTTATAATAAAGGAAACTAACTACTTTCAAGAGCTAAATTAAAGCAGACATTAATATAAAAAAGTAGAAAAACAAACATTTTTTAAGAAAATTAAATATTCTTTAAACTGATTTAAAAGTTTTGCTCATATATAAATGATTTCAAAAGTGGATAGTTAAAATAGTGCATTTATATTATAATATTTTTAATACAAATCCAATTTAAAAAAAAATACATTTTTACATTTAATTACATTTATTTAGGTAATGTATAATAGCCCCCAGAAAAAATTAATTGATGTTCTCTAACTTTTCTATCCAAAAATACTTTTAATTCCTGTAAACTACATTCCAGTGTTGGACCTTGAAACGCAAACATTTTTAACATTTGATGAATCCTATCCAATGGGAGTGTTTCTAAATTCATCAGCATACCAACAATATATGACCAAAATGTCTAAAAAAAAGAGTTTAGTGTTAAAATTAAAACATTATTTGTAAAAATACTTGTAACTCTTCTTCTCTTTGATCTTGTGCACTAGCCATTGCCGATTCTGATTCATAATCTTCCACAAATAAGTCTTCTTGAATATTGTTTTCGTTGGGTTGCAAACCTTCTTGAATACTAAAAATGTCCTGTTGCTTTTCAACTATAACACCATGTGATTGCCAGAATCCGATTTTCTTTCTTAGTATGGTCGCAGGGCATTGCATTATTTTGCTTAATTCTTCCAATTCCCAAACATCTACATAAAGAAAATATTATTTTAATAAAATAAATTTTCCGAAATGCACGCTAGGATACAGTTAAAAAAATATCAATATCCTAAGTAATAAGTAATAACTCAACTACAGAATACGGTTCTTACTTTTATCTTGAAAATGCATTATAATGGTTGCCTGAATAGGAGAAACCGAAAAATTTAAAGATCTATCAGCCAATTTCAACTCAAGATCGACTATCCCCAAATGATATTTCCAGCACAACGTTCTACTTCCTTTTAATTTTTCAAACGCCGTGGTATATATTTCAATTTGATCTTTGAGTTTTGAATGAACCATTAATTTTTCTTCTTTAAACGGAGGCCAAAATTGTGATGAAACAATCATTGTTGACATAGGTATTTCATTTTCACTGTATTCAGAGTCTTGTTTGATATTTTGATTGATTCGTTTCGAGTCCGCTATGTCTTTTAGCATCACCTCGCAATAGTGTAGATGTGAATCGCCAAATCGGAGTTTTAGGAGTTCCAAGTAACGAATCTCCTTTTCCGTGTCGCAAGTATATTGCGTAAGTAATCTGTCGGCTAGTATTGTCCTGTATTCGTTCACAAATAATTCTTTACTTCCATAAACATTTACCAACATTGAAATGATGTCCGATGTGCGGCGTGTTCCTGTGGGCTTAGCTTAAAAAAGTAATACATTTTCAAGCATTATAAATACATACTACTAATACTATAAATAGACATACTGGTGTCCAAAATACAATGCTAATCCAAAAAACGTTTTACAAATGTATTGTAGTATATTATTATTAGGGCTATTGGACTTGACCAGCTAAACTGGTTAGCGAAGCTTAGACGGTTAAATATTTCTCAGCTAAGCCGGCTTGCTAGGCTAATAAGGCTAATTCGGCTAAAAGTTAACAGGTTATCAACTACTTCAGCAATCTTTATAATATAAATTGAAATTCATAAGGTTTTTCAATGTGGAAATTTCAAAAAAAAACAAAAGATGACTTTATGTCAATAAAGTGGTGAATATAACCAAATAAAACTTTATCTTGAATGATTTTATGTTTTCATAACTTTTAAAGATCCTGTAGTTAAAATCCGAAATTTTACTATATGAGAATGTTATTTTTTTGATAATTAAAACATTTTATCACGAATGACTTTTCTTTGAAAAATCAAAAACAAAAATACAAGGTGATTCACCTAACTTCATTAGAACTTTATGGAGAACGGATTTGAAATAAAAAAAAATGTATAGCAATTGAGGCCTGTCATAGCAAAACCGACAATCTCCACTTTTGGTCAAAAATTAGATTTTTGGAGGAGACTGTACTTCAACTAATTATCTATAAGATGATAAAGTTTATGTGCTGCAAAAGGAACTAAATCCTGCCTAAAATCCTATTTTAAAAATGACATTTAGTGCAAAGTCGACAATCTCCACTGATAGATTTGCAGCAAAGTATACAATCTCCAATTCCACCATTAGAAATTAGTAATTTGTGTCACCTGATATCCTAACATTTGATGTTATATAGTGTTGTAAAAAAAACGTTTTTTTTTTAGTTGAAAAAAAACACGTGAAAAAAAACATGTTTTTTTCACTGAAAAAAAAACAAAAGTTGTTTTTTTTCATCCCCACCCACGTATGGTAAAAGAGCGCCTCGCTGTCGGCAATGCTGACTCAGCATATCGTATAGTCTATACGGTATTATAATAGAAGAGTTAAGACCTGCGGCTTTATAGGTTGATGCATAGTTGGTAGAAATGCCGAAAAGATAAGGCTCAGGGCGAAAGCCAACAACGTTAAACAATTTGTTTAAGAATATTACTAATGGTAAGTAAGAAACTATAATTAGTATTTAATATTCTTCTAGTGACAGAATGTGCCAAAAATTCTTTCCTCAGCAGTGACATTTCGAAAATCCTGTCACTTAATATAATTTGAGTATTTTTGACCATTTTTTTTTGAAAAAAAAACATTTTTTTTTTAAAAAAACAAGGACCTCTTTTTTTTTCAAAAAAAACATTTTTTTTTGAAAAAAAACAAGACTGTTTTTTTTCAGTGACAACACTAATGTTATAACGTATTTTAGAGATTTAATTTTGTTCACTGCAAATGAAAAAATATTGGCTGTATTCAAGTTCTATGGACCTGAATCTGGTTCTATTCAAGATTTGACCTTTTATATTTGCAGCTCATGTGTCCGAATACTTTTCGGCTCTTATACTTTGTTGACGTTTTTACCTTCATAGTCATTAAATATTTTGTGATGAATAGAAATCCGATATACAAAATTCAAGGAGCTGAATACTTCTCTACGGGTTAAGTTTCTCAATACCTTTCTGAAGTATTTGCAGGCTAAGTTGAGCGCTTTGGTGGGGGATCTTGTGACCGTTGATTAAATTAAATATCTAATCCTCGCAAGATTTCGGTAACAAGAAGATGATTTATCAGTGCGGGGGCTTGCGGTTTGTTGGTACAGAGCGGCTACCGAAATACATGTATTTAATTGTGACTAAACATAGAGATGATGGACGGGGTGACATTCCTAAGACCGCTCAACTTAGCCTGAACGGACAGTATGTTTTGATTTCTACACCTGAGCCAAGCATTCAAATCTCGTGCTGATAAATATTATTCATTCTATCTTACATAGACGGTTTTACCTTTATAGTCTTTGAATATTTTGTGATGAATAGGAATTTGATATAGGAAATTTAAGGTGCTGAATACTTCTCAACAGGTCAAGTTCTCAATACCTCTCTGAAGTATTCAAAGTCAAAGTTTATGTATGTTCTGATATATACACTTGAGTCGAGCGTTCAAATTTTGTGCTGATGAATGTTATTTATTCTATTTCCGTGGAGGTGTTTGGGCCATGTAAAAATTAATATTATATGCTCTATACTTGAGTCGAGGATTCAATTTCAAGGATTAAGTGGAAGAGAACGTGTCGTAATCGGGAGTAAAAATAGAAACCTCGACACGAGACGGAAGTGACCTCATATACTGAGGGAAAAAATCAAATATAATGCGAAATTGCCACATTTGCAGTGTTGCCAGAAAATAATTTTTTAATCATAGGTATACTCAATACAATATCAAGCAACACTTTGACAGGTGACAGATGATAAGTGACAAATGACAGGTTGGTGACAAATGACAGATTTTTTAAATTTAAAACTCACGTAAAAAGCAAAGTAATAGGCAAATAACACTTATTTAAAATAATAATTTAATGTTTATTTTGTTTTTCACCTAATTTTCTACAAGCGTGCCGAAAGTTGCACTTTTCCGGTCGCTTACTTTCCGCACGCACGAAAGTGCGGAAATTAAATGCGTGTGGATATTACTTTGCGCACGTGAGTAGAACAAATAATTATGTACCTACTATGCTTCACACAGCAAAGAGCCACCACGTGACTTTGATATAAATAATTAAGGTTAATTTTCTGTCAGTGTCAAGCTAATTTTAACCTATTTTCTGAAAATAATGCAATAATAGTATATTAAAGAACTAATGTCATAAGACGTAATTTTGTCGCACGCGGACAATAAAACGAGCGACGAAGGAGCGAGTTTTATAATGGACAAGTGCGACAAAAGGTCTTATGACATGAGTTCTTTATGCTATTTTATCTATTTTGCAAACATTTCATAAAACAAATTAATTTTATACCTTAAATTTAATTTGGTCGAATTTTACTTTACATAGTTGGTATCTCAGTTTGAAGTTTGAAAGGTCATTAACCTTTCAAACATTATCACATTCTTTCGCTATGGCGTCGTTAATTTACAATAAGTATTTACAATAAGCGGCTGTTAAAGAAGAAAAAAGGATTTTCTTTGGCGTTAAACAAAATTTATTGCACGAAAAGTCTCGTAAGTACTAGAAAACAAATCATAAAAATATTATAACCTATAGGTATTCAATATTTTATTTTACTAGCAGCCAACCTATAAAATCAAAATTTTGGGTGGTACCTCATTAAAGAACCAAAAGCGGTGTTATAATGAAGTCATTATGAACGCGAAATAGATAAATGTATTTTTTGTGTTCTAAATTAAGACCTTTATACAGAAAAAATACATATTTTCAGAAAATATGACAAAATTACCTTCATTCTGAAAATTAACCTTAATTATTTCTATCAAAGTCACGTGGTGGAACTTGTGTGGAGCATTGGATAACGAGCGGGGCAAGTGATCCAACCATTCAAACAAAATAAAAACATTTGTAACATTTACATCAAACAATATTTTATCTATAAACATTATTAAACAGACACTTAAATAAACAATAATTAATAAATTTAAAATTAAAGCCATACAAATCTAAGATCAAGTAACTCTTTGTTCTTACCCTGCTGAAAAAGACGGGTAATATCGGATGATTGCGGATAAAAAACCAAGCTAGTTTTATGTCCATTTATATCTGTTTTTATCCGACATATCTGATTTTACCCGGCATGTCGGTTTTTATCTGCAATTGCGGGTATAAATATTATCCGCGAACGTCGGGTTTTATCCATTTAGATCTATGTCTGCTTTTATCTGTTTTCATCCGCAAATACCTGTATTTGAGTTTATATCTGCATTCACCCGGTTCTATCTGATTTTATCCGCAAACATCTACTTTAATCCGCAAACGTCTGCTTTATCCGATTTCACCTGCAAACATCTGCTTTTATACGTGAAGATCTACTTTCATCCGCGAACATCTATTTTAATCCACAAACATCTGTTTTAATACGCAAACATCCCATTTAGTCCGCAAAAGTCTGATTCATAAGATTTCACCTGCAAACATCTGTTTTTATCCGCAAACATCTGCTTTTATCCGCAAACATCTGTTTTAATCTCCAAACATCTGATTTTATCCGCAAACATCTATTTTAATCTGCAAATATCTGCTTTTATCCGCAAACACCTAATTTTATCTGCAAACATCTGATGTTATCCGCAAACATCTGCATTTATCCGTAAACATCTGGTTTTATCCGCGAACATCTGATTTTATCCGCAAACATCTGATTTTATCCGCAAACATCTGATTATACGCAAACATCTGATTTTTTCCGCAAACATCTGCTTTTATCCGCAAACCTGATTTTATCCGCAAACATCTGATTTTATCCGAAAACATCTGCTTTTATCCGCAAACATCTGCTTTTATCCGCAAACATCTGATTTTATCCACAAAAACTAATTTTATTCGCAAACATCTGATTTTATCCGCAAACATCTGCTTTCATCCGCAAACATCTGTTTTAATCTCCAAACATCTGCTTTTATCCGCAAACATCTGATTTTATCCGCAACATCTGCTTTTATCCACAAACATCTGCTTTTATCCGCGAACATCTGATTTTATCCGCAAACATCTGCATTTATCCGCAAATATCTGCTTTTATCCGCGAACATCTGATTTTATACGCAAACATCTGATTTTATACGCAAACATCTATTTTAATCTGCAAATGTCTTATGTTATCCGCAAACATCTGCTTTTATCCGCGAACATCTGATTTTATCCGCAAACATCTGCATTTATCCGCAAATATCTGCTTTTATCCGCGAACATCTGCAAACATCTGCTTTAAACTACAAACCTCTGCTTTTATCCGCGTTCGGTTTGCCTGCATTTCCTTTGTCCATTTCGGTCCTG